CTCTTGTGTCTCTGTGATCGCTTCATCTGTCTGTGAGATGGGGCTTGTCTCAGTCGCTGTTTCTGAGACCTCTGTGACTGTGTCCACCTGCGTCTGTTGCACATTTTCAATTTCTAAGCTCTCCTCTTGTTTCATGTCAGCCTGAATCATCTGTTCCTCACTTGGGTCCACACTTTCTTCCGTCTCCACCTCTGTGTTTGTATCTGCTTCAGCATCTTTCTGTGTCTCAGTCTGATTTTTCTCCACTGCAGCTGTGGGTTCACTTTCTGCCTCTTGTATTTCTGTCTCTTTATTTTTGTCTTTGACCTCAATGTCCTGGTCTTTGCTTTTGTGACTCTGCTGTTCCAGGACTTGTGACGGGCTGGAAGAGCCCAGCTCCTCGCCCTGCTGAAGAATATTTTCCACAGTCTGGTCTTTGGCTGGACCTTGGTTTGGTTCTATCTCCACATTGGTTTCTTCTGTCTGTTCTGAAAGCATTTTGCTTTCCTCTGTCTCTGTCTCTTTGAGTTGGCTTTCTTCCTTTTCTGTGATTCTTGTTTCTACTTGTTCTTTTACTAAAACTGTTTCTTCTACATGCTCGGTTGGTATGTTTTGGATTGTGTCCATCTTTGTAGGTTCTTTCTGTTCACTTTCTCCTGTTTGTTTCGGCTTACTCTGTTCTTCATGTTCTTCTGAAACCGTGTCCTCCTCCTCCTGGACGCCCTGTACCTTCTTAAAACGTACATCAGCCCAGTTGCTCCAGTCCTCCTTTGCTCCCATCGAGAGATGCCTTACAACTCTGCCGCCGCCCTCCCATTCACCCGCGTTTACCTTTCCCCCTTTCCTCCACTTGTGAAGGATGGAGGGAGACAGCGAGAGAGTGGAGGCAGAGCGAGCAAGAGGGACGGACAGGTTCCCTTTCTCTCTCTCTTTCCTGTTCCGTTCTTCCTCGTTCTGTCGAGCCCTCGCCCACGCCATCCGGTATCCATAGCAGCGACCTCTGGGGTCAAAGGTGGATGAGGGTCTGTCTTTCCTCCACTTTTCTAACTCCTTCTCCGTCTGCTTATCCAGATCTCTGGCTGACAGCGGCACCGAGCACACCTAAGAAAGAAGGAAAACATTAGTTTATATCTAAACTATAGTTTCTGACTACCAGTTCCTTCAGTGTGGAACATTTTTTTAAAATCTTTGTTTTAAAGGTTTTGCTTTTGCAGTCAGTGCTCTGATTTTTCAAAGGTGGTCACTTCATGCATGAATTTTCAGCCAAAACAGACGTCTTAAAAGTGGTATGGATGAAATCATCTGCTGAAGTCACTGATAGCTAGTAAACCAGATTTTCAGTGGCTGCTCTCCTCAACACCAGCCCTTCTCTGAGTCCTTCTTACCTCTGCTATGAAGGAGTCATCTTCCTCTTGGACCTGCTCCCTGACTCCCCTCAGCCTCTCTAGAGTCTCCATCTGACCCTGACACTGCTTCCTCTGCTCAGCTCGGCCCAGCACCCGACGCACCAGCACCACCGCCACCTGGAGCAGCACCCGCACTCCTGCACAGAGGAGAGGAGAGGTAAGAGTGGACATAAATCAGAGTATAACAAATAAAGCAATATGGAAGTAACCAATTTCATTCTAATCAGATGAAAGGAATTTTAAACTGTTGTAACTTACAATGTATTTTCCTTATACCAAAATATACAATACAACATTTTATCTAAGCAGTTACATATTTGGTTGCCTCTCTTTCAGGAAATCATTTCATTTGTATGAGGCACAGCAGTCCATATGAGAACGTACCATAGCAGAAAAAGAGGTCCCAGACTCGGAGCAGTGTGTTGAAGGGCAGGTGACGTGTGAAGAGACACATCAGCCAGTCAGTGGCGAACATGAGGGGCTCCACCCCGTGGTGCTGTAGATGTTTGTGTGCAGCTGGGCACGTCCTTTTTAACACCCAGGTCAGCATGGCCGCGTCAAACAGGACTCCCTCCTGCAGGAGTACACACGCTTAGTTCAGGAAATCAGATCCAGGTAATAGTTTGTTTTATGGTTCTCTAATTTCCAAATAATAGGAAGTTTCCCTGAATATCGATATACCATACAGCTATCTGATACTCATCATAGGGAAATAGGCTCTTCCTTAAAAGAAGAATTGTATACCCTTTTTTTAATGTTCTGTTGACCTGACTGACTCTGGTTGCACTAGAAATAACTGGAACATTGTCTCAATTTTTTTAGAATAAATAAAAAATTACATTCATAAAAACCACATATCCACACTGTGCACAGAGTTTCTGTGATTATTTGATTAATTGTTGTCTTAATGAATCTCTAAGTGTTTACTGAATTGGAAGTTAATGCATAGCATAAATGAAGAAAAATCAGCTTCTAATTTAATTTAGTGAGCTACAGTTCATGTAAATTGTCTTTATATGACAGGGTAAACAGGTTAATATAAGTGTAGTGTCGGCCACATAGTGCATGTCCTCACCAACAGTGGGCTGTAGTATCCAGGCAGGTACTGCTCACTTATCTGCACCAGACACCAGAAGGCCTCCTGACAAGGTCACATGAGTTTAGATGGTACATACATTCACAATAAGTCAACATTTATAAGTTATCCCTTCTATTATTAGGCTAGTTATGCATCTGAAGTGCTAAAATCTAGATTGATGAAATGTTTGCAGATTCTTTATTGGGCAGAAGGGTAAACAGTGTTATTGATCGCTACCTCAGCTGGCATGTTCATCAGCAGCACTGCAGCCACGGGCCCCTGTGCCTGGCAGTAACCCTCTTCTGGTTGGTACTGAGTGTAGGCTTTCAACACCCGGAACAAACCACGCTGCCTACACACAAACAAACATGCACGCACACCACAATCATCAGTGACACAAACCACAAGTTAAAACGTCCTGATAACACTTCGATAAAAATCACCTGTGCAACAGAAAACAAAGAAAGGAAGAATATAAAGATGCAGTGGTAGCAGCTGAAGGCTAAAAAGACTGTGGGATTATTTTGTAGCCATGAGCTTGTCAACAGAAACAAAGAGAGATAGAAATGTTTCCTACCCATGTCCATCCTTGGAAAGGAACATTTCGTGGAAAGGGAACTGTCGGTCCAGGTCTCTCTCAATCACATCCACCCAGCTCTGCAGAGCAGGCTGTGAGTCCAGAGACTAACACACAGATAAAAGATAGTTGAAGTCAAAACAATGCATGTATTGTAAGTACAAGGAGCCTTATTTAGGCTTAGTGCTGCGACAATTATTTTAAATTATCTATTGTTTAGTAAATAGAGTTTAGTATAAGACGTCAGTTAATAGTGATAATTGTGTAGTACAAGATCCCACAGCCCGAGATACTGTGTTCAAACAGTCCAAAACCAAAAGATTCTCCATTTACACTTATATTAAACAGATAATAGCAAGTGACTAATTAATTAATCAACTACTGATTTCACCATTAGCTAGTCAGAAGTCAGAAAATAGCTCCTAGAGCCCGAGGTGATGTGATCTGTGGTGATGCTTGTTTTGACATTGCAAGGATATTCAGTTTAGTGAGATATAAAACTGAGAATAGCAGGACAGCTTCACATTTGAGAAGCAGGAACCAGTAAAATGTTTGCCATATTTTCTTGATAACATTAACAAATATATTACCATCTAATCAAAGAATTGACTTATCGTTAAAGCACTAGTCACACTGCATCCTTTGCATTGAGACGACAGCACATTGTTACTCTGTGTTTAGTTTTCTTGCCTGGTAGAGGTTTTCGTTTTGTTTCATCCTGTCGGTAGCGCCACACAGCAGCGGCCAGCACTTAGCTCTGAGCGAGGCCGGGATGCCTTTCTGACACTGCACTTTGACCTGAAGGGATGTCAGCAACAGAGACACAGGCTCAGCTCAAAGTAGTTCAGTATGAATGCTAATGATTACTAACAGTTCAGTTTTGGAGTTTATTTACACTACATGTAATGACTTAAAGGTATGTAAGATGGGACACACCTTACTGGTCTTCTTCAACAAGATGCGATCCCATTGGACAATGATGTTTATCCATTTGGCCTCCCTCTGCCTGACCAACTCAGGGGGTGGGCCCACACTCCTGACACAAAAACAGCAAACAAAACACCAAGTAAGTATTTTAAACATGAAATAACCTTCATCTCATCCATTGAGACCTTTGTGTCAGTGTGCAGAGTTTGTGCATGCACTTTTGTGTGTTAGGGTTAGGGCTCTGAAAATCAAGACAGGAAACAGGAAAACCACACGGTAGCAGTTTTAAGTCTCCATGGCAACAGGTCAGGATGTTATCAATGGGGAAAGTGTGAAGACGGCAGGTAGCAGTTTGTTCAGCTGGTCTCATCCTGAATGTACACTGCTTTGTCTAGTCCACCAGCAGGATCTTTTATTTCATTGTTGATTAAATATAATTTAAATATGTTGTTGTTAGTATTATCTACATTTATGTTCCTACAGAATTATTATATCAACAGTAATGCAGCAACATTAATGCAACACCCCGCCTCTGTCCTGCTGAATAAAGTCATCACGGGTGGCAATGCTTTGCAAAACAGAGGAGTAGTTTTGAAGCTGACAAAATAAATACGACCACTTATAAATATTTCTGTGTTTAACTGTGAGTTTTATTCACTGGTTTATTGACCATTCATGTGGCTGTCTCCTCATTTGACCTCTCTCATTGCAACCGTAAGGTTGGAGCTTTACTTGCTGCGTAGACAAGGCTTTCTTTCACTCTAGCAGAAACCTTTTGCTCTTGGGTGGGCCGTGCTGTACTTAGTAGTGTATTTTTATTGTCAAATAAATGGTTTGGAAGCTATTGCTCTCTCATTAAGACCTGTTTGCTAATTGTTTTTTGACTGCAGTTGAGTGTTATTTGCCCAGTCGGCTCCGTGTCACAAAAGCATTGGATTAAAATACAGGTCTTTAGATACGTGGTTTTATAAAAACATGGTCTGGCTCTTCACTGTACACTGTATTCTGTATATAAACATTCAATAGCTAACCTTCAGCATTAAGGGAAAGAAATTGTTTGGTATCATCTCTTCTGACACTGACAAAAACATCTGTAATTATTTCACTCCTAGGTGTTTCAAGGTCTAAAAGCTCAACTATACGTTTCCTACTATATGTAGGGGGTTTCGAGGAGGTCTGAAAGCAGAAGCAGAAGTGATAATAAAATATACATAACAGTGGTTCCCAAGCCACTGGAGGTCTAAACTGTTTTAGGGGTCACCAGATGCTGTAGTTAAACTAAATAATTGAGATTTTTCTCTACTTTTTGGACATTTTTACCTTCAAATGAAACAATACAAACAGGAAAATCCATCCAAGCCATAAACATAGACATACAAGATTATTTATGCACTAATAGGTAGCATTAATTGTTAAATCATCCGATAAGAGAAGTAGGAAGACACATATACAGGTTTATTGTATAATTAGTATTTATATTGTTATATTAACAATGTATAAAAATCTTACCAGTCAGCTATGATTCAATTTAATCACATTTAAATAGAGTAACATAGACTTAAGGAAAATAAATGACTGAGACCTTGAGGTGCATTTCTTTTACTATATTTAATTTTCTCATTTAATAGAAACCTTTCTAGAGTTTTTATCTACCTTGAGATGCAGTTTAGTAAAATCAACAACCACTTCAGCCTTCGTTTGTCTCTCTACCCTTTGACCTTTTTCAATAAAATAAAAAGTCTCTTTGAAAAGCGAATTGAAAACAGAGAACCAGAAAACCTGGTTTTGATTACAGTGCCAAGCTCAGTGACGATACAGTGACAGAACACAACCACAAATGTGGAACTGCTCACCCTGCTGTGGATCCATTGGTCACAATGAAACCAAACCGGTCTGTCTCAGGTTCCAGACCAGCCTCTGATCCTGCATCCGATCCAGAGCTGTCCTCGTCACAGAGGTTCTTCTGGGCTGGACTCGATGGACTCAACATCTTGCTGAAAGAGGAGGCTCCTCGTTATGACTTTATCATCATGATTAGTTGATTCATCAGAGGCTTGTGACCTTACAACGCCTCCCACATGTGGATGTATCAATGTTCGAAACCTTAACCCCACCAAAAACAGTTCTCTCACTGGAGCCTGTTTAGGTTGTTATTGTTAGTACACAAAGTAGAGGCCTTGATGCTGAACAAGAGTGTCCTGCTACACTTAATAACATCCTAAAAGTACATTCTTCACTACCCGTCTTCAGTTCAAGCCAAGGTTATGACATCTGCTGGCTCAGTTTGTTTTTTATTCTTTTTTTCCATCAGTGTAAAGTAGTTTAAAACCCCTTCCTTCCCTCCTTCCATAAACATCACATCACAAGAGCACAGTTGTTGAATCCCTTCAAATATGCTTTTAAATGTAATTACCTTTTTAAATTTCCGTCATATTTGCTCACTCCGTTGCTGAAGAGGTGAAGTGTGAGATCTTCCAGTGATGAGAGGAAGACAAACTTCCTCTCTCGCCCAATTGCTCTCTCTCTCTCTCTCTCTGCCTCCCTCTCTCAGTATTACAAATACATTGTCCCTTAAATCAACTTCCCTTAAAGCAATAAAGTTGACTATTTATGGAAAATATTCTTTTTTAGCTGCCAAGTGATACACAGTTGTAACATGACATCAGGGTGTGTGATAAATGTATAATATGCTCCGCTTATGAGTATTACTTCCTCGTCAGGGCATTATAAATGCTGCTTTCACTTGCTGTAGGAAATACTACATTTGCACGCGCCTGGGGGTAATTTAAACTCAGAATAGGAAATTAACGAGGGGTACTTGAATGTAACATAAATACAATTGCGCAGTTCACGGACCTTCTGTCTGCGTGTTGTTACTCATCAAACATTGTGACAGAGGTAAGTCTAGTAGAGTATTATTATAAAGGCGAACTGGTTATTGTGACGATTGTTTTAGGCCTCAGGAATAGGGTCCGTGTTGCGTTCAATGAATTATTCTACTAAATTACCTTAAATTAACGCACTGTAAAGTTGGTGAGCGACTTAGTTATTGTATATTATGAAGTCAGGGCTCACAGTTTGCTATTACGAACATGTATCGTCCAAATAAATCAAAGTAATTGACCAAATAAACGTTTTAAGGAAACTGCGTGGTCATGTTACCTGTTATGTTAACCTGAGCCTAATTTTGATAACGGTGATTTTAATTTGTAATGAGGCGTTCAGGTTATATCGTAAAAACAATTAATTAAAGCAAAAGATTGCCCATGTGCCTACAAACTAATTGCAAACATTTTTATGGGTAAAAAAAACCCAAAAAACACCATCGTCAGCATCATTTTATTAGTATCTATATATTATTTATTAACATTTTACAGTCAAGTCGACCAGTGTTTGCCTCTATTTGGTGTAAATTGTGAACACGTTACAACATTTTGACACGATACAAAATACCTTATTTAAGCTACTCTTCCGTTTAAATGGCGCGTTAGCTCGTCTAGCAAACGGGAGGTAGCAATCTTATTATAAATAATCCTTGAATGCTCCCAAATCGTATAAACTGGACGTGTTCCCGTTCTTCCCATTCTGCCGGCATGCCGTGAACGTGTCAAACCGTTGACGTAAGAGCAGGGATTGAGGGCGCGAGATTACCGGACGCTTGTTCTCATTCAGCTGGCAGTCTCCACCCCTCCCTCCCTCCCTCACTTACCCCT